GTTTAGGGTTTAGGGTTTGGTGTAATCCCTCCTTGGATAAGCTCCCTCTATACCCTACACCGAAAACCCAGAACCCGCATTGCCCGGCAAAGAATACCCCCGCAGTTCCCCCACAAACCTGAGTCCCCAGTTAAAGCCCTAGCCAGAAGCGCATGCAAAGCACCGAAAAACCTAGCCCTCCTCTCGCTCCGTCTCTCCCTCTCTCTTTCATAGACTCAGTCTCCTGTCAGCCGCAACTCTGTGCCTCCACCACATCCGCAAAGCCCCGCTCGGCTGCCACGTGGAGCGGAGTCCGTCCCCCCGCTGCCGACGGACTCAGTGAGAGGCCAAGTCAGGGTTTCGGGTTTCAGTGTTTAGCGTCTAAGGCTTTTTTGACGCTCACACTCGGACGAATGCAGCAAGATCTTCAGACAAGCAGGGTTTAAGGTTCAGAGGGCTCATATATCAACGGCCATGGTTCAGGGCACATGTCCCTGTGCAGCCCATTAGGGACCTGCTGGACCCGCCCAGAGGTATTGTGGCCCTGAAAGCAAACACTACTGTTTAAGGTTGAGGGTTTAGGATTTAGTCACTTATGTTGAGCTGTCTGAAACTGGTCCGGCATAGGCCAATGCAGCTCTTTCATAGCGATTACGGTCAGAAACGTTGTGATTTATGGCTGGTGCTGTAGCTATTCAACATCAAAAAGAACACTGACGACGTGGACAGCAACCGCGACAACAACACCAACAACAACAACAACAACAACAACAACAGCAACAACAACAACAACAACAACAGCCACCACCACAACCACATCCACAGCAACAGCAACCACGACAACGACAACAACAACAACCACAACCACCACCTCAACCCCCAGCACCAGCACCAGGTCACCAGCATCAGAGACAGCAGCAGCAGCAGCAGCAGCAGCAGCAGCAGCATGGAAAAACAACAGCCCATTGACCCGTGTGCGGTGAAGTAACCGCTCAAACTCAAATCAACTTGTCTGTTCTCACGAAGCAGGCTTGAGACCCGGGATGCTGGAAAGCTGAAGTTCTACGCCCCCAGGACTTAGCCTGGTGATGGTGATGATGATGATGATGATGATGATATGCAGTATACTTCGTTCCGACTGTGCATGTGATACCCCGGTTTGGGGTGCATGCTACTTGTACGTGGGATCAAGCATCTGCCTCCGGACTGCGGCACCGTGATACTTTCGCACACGCCGTTCCTTCAAAGACCCAGACCCTCATATTGATTCTAGATCCGGCAGTGCAGCAGCAGACACTCGAGCTCTGATGAGGCCTTCTGCGCCCTGCAGCTAGCTTTCGACGTCCTTCAAGACGAGGTGTTTCTTCCCAACAAAACTCTCTCGACCATTGCCACATATTGCCACCAAAGATCGAGGGCTGAAAAATTACGGATTGGAGGGTCAGGCTAGGCTCTCGCACAACTTTTGGGCTTGAAACTTTGGCCTGAAGCTCTCACCCTGAGTCTTCCCGGCCGGGTTTGTGTAAATCAATGTTTTAGTCGATCGAGTATCGAGTGGTTGGAATTAGCAAGAAGAGGCTGCCTAGCCTTGACATAGAGTTGTAGCCAAGACGAATGAGTTCTGTGCTCAGGCTTTGGAAGCTACATCCCTGTATCCTGCGATCCAGATGCTGACTGAGCAGGTGGAGCGCCAACTGTACGACCGCGAGCTGCGAGAGTCGCGCAGTCGCGACGGCCAAGTAGGCCACGAAGACTGTGGGCTGGTTGAGGTGCAGGGATTGCTCTCAAAGTCCCAGGTATGAAGGGTCGCCGCAAAAAACTCGAAGCAACTTTCAGCCTGGTCCTATCAACGCAGCATAAGCAGCACTGGCTTGTCGACGCGCACCATCCAGAACAAGCTGACCAGATAAAGGATATATATAGAGAGAGAGGTTTTTGTATTCTTTTAAATATTTATACATTTATTCCTACATACATGTATGTATGTATATATATAATTACATACATACATACATACATACATACATACATACATACATACATACATACATACATACATACATACATACATACGCTTAATGTGCACGTATACATAGACATAGGTATTTCGTATTGACATGTATACAGTACCGCTTTCCTGGAAAAGTAGGCGCGGCATACTGGTGCCCCCCCGAAACTTCATCCGCTTCCAAATTAGCGGAGTACTGGGTAGTGCAACCATGGCGCAAATCATCGTTTCATCGTGGCAGATTACAAAAAACGCACGCTTTGTCTCTGTAGGTAGCTATGTAGACGAACTGTGCACATGTGAACTGACAAGATGAACGAATGCATGGGGAAACATGGGTTGATCTGGCAGACAAAGAAAATCCCCGATGGTTCATCTGACAATGAGAAGATATACGACATCACATTCGGCCGGGTCACTGATTTGGAGCCAGGCCGAGACAAGCAACCAGCACTCAAAACAACAAACCCCAGCTAACATTCGGCCAGACACATCTCTCATACGGTATGTCTTGCTGCCGAATCCAGAGCTGAACTGGGCGTTCGACTCAGGCAGTCTGCATTTGCAAGTACTGATAGGCAACTGTCCCGATGCCCTGCGACCACTCAAGGCGTGAGAGCTGGGTTCCGAAGTCGGGAATTCCCAGCGAGGAATGTGGAAACACTTGCAAACGGACTTGACGAGGTTCAAAACATAGAACTCACCGCAAACAAGACGGTCTCGAACAAAACCGCGCTGACAGGCCAGGCTGTGGAGAGAGGTCCAGTGGTTCAGCCAGCTGCGGTCAACCCTGTCATGCTGCGAGATGCGCTGACGGGCGTCTTGTCAACATCTGTGGGGCTTGTCTTCGGGCTGTCCTTTGGGGCCGTTCAGGCTTTGGGCTAGAAGGTCCTCCGTCTAAGTGTTGTTCATGCTTCATGGTGTTTCGTGCCATCACATTTGCTCTACTGTTTGAGGCTTCCGCAATCTACAGCCCCAACCTGCAGCCCCATTATCTTCGCTCTGGCGAAAAGGAAGTTGAAAAGGCGTTATCAGAGGTTTGTCGTCCGTTCTGCTTCGTCTAGGCGCGCGGTGCCCCACCACGCATGCCGTAATGGCGCACCTCTGGGACGTCAGTCTTTGTGGTTTGCTTGTTGGAATCAGATGTTTGTCCGGCGGAATGGGTGTGTTGGCGCCTGTGCATGCTCGCGTGCACCTGTGCGTCGTACCCCTGTTGCCCCTGTACCCGTGCAACTTCAGCTTGGCCAGACTTTTTGTTGAAAGGATTTGGAGCTTGGCTCCACAACTGAAGTACCAGATACCTTTCGAACCTATCTCCGCAAGCCATTCGGAGATGTGTCCAAAAGTTCGAAGCCCGAGCAGCCTCAAGCTGCTGTTTGCCCGAAGGGCACAAGCAGAAGAGTCAGCCCAGCAACCTCGTAAGTCCCAGGTACTCCTCCGAAGCATTGGCCACAGATGCTGAAGGAGCTGTTGACAGATAACCTGAAGAGGTACCACGGTCTCAAGTTTCCGAAATCTCTTTCGCTTCTTCGGTCTCGGGGGCTCTGGCTTGACGTTTTGCAGGAGTCTGAAGTTAGGATTTCGCTTGGGTCGGAGGTTCACGGCATTGAGTGATGTGTAGTGTGCTCCCGAGGGAGCGGCATTGAGTTCGAAGTTATGATGTCCCGAACCCTGCTCGTTTGAAGGTCACTGGTTTGCGTGGCAAGATACTTGACCAGCGATCACGATGCTTGCCCGGTCAGCGAACCTGCTAACTGCCAACTTTCGCACCCGCGTGATTTCTCTTTCTGGCCTCTGACGTGGAATTGTGGGACTACGAGACATTTTGTTCGAATACCTTCGTCCTCCAGAGAGTTGTTTCTGGAGTCCCTATTATTGGTTGCTGGCAACATTTGTTTGGGTTGCAATCCGACCGCGAGCGACTGAGCGAGAGAGAGCGAGACGCATAGACAGACAGACCGTGAGCTTTCTGAGCTTCACTCATCCTGAGTCGTTTGACTCGCAAATCTCATATCCCCCAATCCTTTTCAGAGTCTCTGAAGGTTTAACGCCCCGGGCCAGGTTGCAGGGATTTCTCAACATGTCGCAGCAGCAGCAGAATGAGGTTGCCAAGGAGACATCAGTGCCATCACTCAGGCTGTCAAGGGCACCAAGGCCATCCTTTCAGAAGGGGTTTTGAGAGTGGGATGGGAAGTTTGATGGGGTTTTACTTCAGGATCCATCGGCGAAGGACAACGTGGAAACACATCCCAGACATGCGGTTCTTCATGGCCGGCGTGCAGTGCTACCCAAACCCAACTCAAAGGAGGATGCCGGACTGGATCATGACCTCAGCTCCCACAAAGGGTTGCAGCCATGGAAGAGTGGGACCTCCCAGTTCCTGGGTCCAGAGCCCTCTCCATGCCGCAAGGAGCACCAGGAGAGTCACCAGCAGCACAGCAAGGCTGGAGTGCCAGGCCTGCCCCAAAGTCTGCTTTGGTGCCGCTTTTTCATCCGGAGCAGTCTAAACCCTGAAGCCTAAAGTCTTAACGCCCCAGACTACACGAAGCTTCAAAGCCCCATGGCAGGCATCTGTCGCTCGGGCAATTTCTACTATGCGAAAGCATCCCGTGCGAACATCAGCCGCCCTGCTGAGGTCCTGAGTACAGGAACTGATATTAGGGATTGTTGGCTAAGAGGCTACGCTGGACTACGATGCTGCGGGGTGGTTACATGTCTGCACGGTTTGGGAAGCATGATTCCACTAGGTCACTAGGCCGTCAGCCAGGCTAAGCCAAACCAAGTGCAATTTAGTTTGTTTTGATATGACTCGGGTTCCACTCTCACGAGCTATTGCTTGCATGGTCCTCACTTTGTTCGCCGTGTTCAGAATCTCTAAGACTGATTTGTTTCTGACTTGTTGTTCCCCGGGGTTGCTTTATCCTGTGTCGCCACGGTACCTTCTCATGCAATGCCCAAGCACATCAAAATTGACCGCTCCAATGTTGCGATTCACATTACCGGTGTCTTGTACAGTGATTTCGGGCTGCTCGACGTAAGAAGTGAGGTTGTGACGAACAGAAAAAGAGGCCTCGAGTTGCATCCAATCAACTTCGCCAGGTTAGAAGAGTCTCCGACTCACAGACTGACACATCTCCGTAGCGAGGGAAGCCTGTGCCACGACCCCAGGCATCAACTCCAAGCCTGCTACGTTGGTTGAGGCCATCGATGCCAACATTGCACTGAAACAGCCTCTGGCCTGCTATAACTGCGCAATGTTTGACAGTAGGCTCGCCTCTTAGGCATGCGGCGGATAGGCCCCACAAAAGCCCAAGCAAGGATCTGGAACATCGTGAAGAAGTATCCGGACGATCTCGAAGGCAGAATCCTACCAGCTGCTGCGTTAACGAGCCCCAGGCCCTCTGCACAAACCCAGAAACTAAGTACTTGTAGCTTTAAGAGCTTCAGCGCCAAGCTGCAGCTCTTTTCGGATGCGTGCTAAGTACTCCACTCGTGCCCCACCCCGGCCCACCCCTTCAGCCCTTCACAGAACCACAAACCGCCAGCGGCCAAGCGCCAAACGTTGTAGGTCCAGAAAGAGTCACTGGATCAGAAAGGGGTTGTTTACGCATACCTCGGTGTCTCATGCATTTTCCTCTTGCCTTGACAGCGACTCGAACAGTGATCCGGAAGCTAAGGCTCGTACGGTTCACTGGTTTTCAACAGGCATAACCTTGAGCGTTTGGAAGCCTGGGCTTGAGGGTTCAGTGTTTGAAGGGGGGCGACGTCCCGACGATCCAGCGCATACGCGCTGAAGCAAATTCTAAAAGGCACTGGAGCTGGCGTAGTGGCAATCGGGAGATCGCAGAGGGCTCCGGACTCGTGGTTTAAGAGATGGGAGCTAGGGCCAGGGCAAGTTTGCAGATCAGAACATCTGCTGGATCCGAGTGTCCGCATCTCGACGCACTAAGTTTCAGTTCGACGAAACATCAAACGTCACCAAACTACCCCGAGTAGCAGGTGGACTGCGGCGTGCCGTGAAAGAGCGCCGAGAGATCGACCAAGACACCATTTTCTTCATGAGGCCCACACATTGCCCACAGAGGGTCACGAGAGCTTTATGCTCGCAAACTGGTAGAGCACTGCGGCGACAGCCTTGATTCTGAATTCGACTGCATTCTCGCACTCTTGATGAGGTTTTTGCTGCTGGTATGTTGTTGCCTGTATGAACGCAGTGTTTCGGCCACTGCGGCACCAAAGTTGGGCTCGGAGGGTGTGACAAACGTATGACGATCACTACAACTGTTTCTGAAGGAGGTCTGCTGGGCACGGCGAGTATCCTTGCCATGACAATGATGTTTGTGCCTGCTTCGATTCGGGAATGATGGGATACGGAGAGTATTCCGACTCCCATGGTATAGTGGCGACTCTGGCGACAGTGGTCACCGCGCAGAGTGGACTTAGCCATGAATCATGATGCTGCATCTGTGAGGATGGTGATGCCGACGATGATGACGAGGATGGTGATGATGGTGATGGTGATGATAATGCTGGTGGTGGTGATGGTGATGACGGTGATGGTGGTGATGATGATGATGATGATGATGATGATGATGATGATGGCGATGACGGTGATGACTTTGGTTTTCAACCAGCGCGTGTGCATAGCTTATCCTCATACAACACTTATTGTCGTGTTGAGCTCGAAGTGTATGCAGGATGTAGAATGTCAGTTGGAGGATCCTGCTAGCCCGTGCCTTCTTGCGCCTCAGCCTTCCGGATATCCCCATGTCGCTGGGCTACTCAAGACACTGAGCCCCAAAACCCAAGTGACGATGTAGGTATACGTATAAGGATGTAGCTGAAGTGCGCGGAGGTTCCGCTTGGACTTCAGATGGGAGACCATCCGCATAACGACACCGTGCCCGGGCAGTCGGGTCATTAATGGGTTTGGTGCAGGACTTCTGGTTTAGGCGACCGTACCACGGTGGACATGCTTCCCATGCGAAGGACTACATGCCCGCATGTCAAATGTCTTTTCAGCAAGGCCCTCGAACTCAATGCGAAACAGTACTGCATAGGCCCCAAAGCACCGATCGTGGAATGTCGAGGATTTCGTGGATCCTTAAGCACCACATGGTCCAGAGCGTCGTGTCGTCAAATAACTTTGGCCCCACAAAGCCTGGCGTGTAGTGGGCACTCGCCCGTCGGGGCACAAAGTCGTAGGGTTGCCATGTCTGGGAAGCGGGGGCAATTCCGGTCCCTTTTCCTGTGGCGTGGTCTGCGGTTCGGACAACGGTCCACACACACACACACACATGGGGGGAGAGGGCCTGGACAGGCTGTGCACTTGAAATTGAATCTTTCAGAGGGTGCCCAGTGGGATCTCATGACATGTTTGTTTGGATCAACGACGGCGAACCTGAGCTAGCCCCCGCCCGTGGATGTTTGGCCAAAAACGCCGACGAGCCCAGTCACTTAGGACAAGGAGCGATGTTGAGAGCTTACTCAGAGATCGCCGCACTCTACTCAAGCTGGCAGAGAGCCTCGGCTGCGATACGATCCGTCCTAGGCGTAAGTTTGGGTCAACATGGGTCAACACAGTGTTGAGCCAAAAATTATGTGTCAGGGATTCGGGTTGCCCCCTTCATTCTTTAGGGGGACGCTTGGACCTGGCACTGGCTACCCTCAGAGCTTTGCTTGGACTCAGCGCCTTGGAGTCCGGGATGCCGCGGGCAGCCCGGTGCTTCGTGTTCAAAAGCCGAGAAGCCGAGGCGCCGAGCCTCGAAGGAAGAGTTCGTGAAAGCACAACAGTCCTGACCTCAGCCTCAGAGTCTGCCTGCTTAATCTGTTGACCCGTCAAGATTAGCAGAATGTCCGTCACGGAGGTATCACAAACTTCAAACCGCAAGCTGTCAAGATTAGCAGAACTTGTGAGCCCTGCTGTAGTTGGCAAGCCCTGCAATTCCAAAAGCATTTGCAGAACACGCAAGTGGCGCCGAGAGCTGCGCAGGGCCATGAGGGAAAATGCACAGGAGGAGCTGGTAGCAGCTCGGTGGCGATCAATAGGCCCTTTCTTTGTGCTGTGATTCGTTGTGGTCCGGCTTAGTCCTCGCCCCAAGCTTTGGAATCCTCTAGTTTTTCCATGAGCCTGCACGATCCTGCATGCAGATAAGGCTTCAGCAGCGACGGAAACAGTTATGCCTAGAGCCAGCAAGTGACTCAACACAGCTTGAACATCCCGACATGCATCGAAACCTCGGTCTAGGTGGCTTTGACAACAAAGTCAGAAGCCTTTGTCCCAGAAGCGCTCGATTCAGGGTCGGGGCTCTGGGGCAAGAACTTCGTGAAGGTCAAGGGTGTACACTTTCTCCTATTGGCAGCCTCTCGTGTAGCGAGTCCGCAACCACCCTTTTGTCCCCCCCGAGACCTTGAAAACCCAGGCACAGCGGAACCATGCAAGCGTGCGGCAACAGCTTGTGGCAGAGGCAAGCGGTTCAGCATCCCCCCAGCTTTAGCAGTGCAGCTGCTGGTGTGCGCTTGCATGACCTATTGCAACGCAGGTTGCACGGGAGGTCCTGTGGCGCCACGCTGCAGACTCAAGGAGTTTGCAACTTGTCTCGCAATCTCCGAGACGTCGGCAGTGTCATGTCGGGCCCAAGATATCTCCACCGTTCTGCAGGTCACCGGAAGTCAACAAAGTCTAACAAATTCTCTTTACCCCGGCTAAAGCGTGAGTGCTGCCGTGTTGACTCCGTGGCTGCAGCATGCAACTCAGTGTAAATCTCGTTTCAGGCTACAGTACTGCATTGAGGCACGTTTAATGGGGCTATCCGATGTCATATTGCCTATGCCCGGATTGAATTTCCAACCATTCAAGCCCAACCGAGTTCAATCCCTATTCATTCAGCAACTTTCGCCAACGCACAAAGCGTCATGCCCGAGGCTATCGTTGAAAAATCGTGCGGATGAGGCCTTGGGCGAGTAGAGGGATGAATCCTTCGGGCCTCCGGGGTTCGGGTTGCATGCAGAATCTCCACATTGTCATCCATGCACGAGCACGGCGAGCTGCTCTGTTTTTCCTTCTTCCAGCGCCAAGCACGCATCAGCAAGCCATATCACTCATATCACCACCACAACTCACCCACCAGCGTCAACCTCTGCCATCAACATAATTATCGGAAACATGCGTTGGTTGCAACTTCTGCTGCCCTGAGACGCGTCCGGATTTGTGCTGCTGGTAGCGACAGTCATGCTTAGCTGTCCTGTTGCTGGCAGCAAAAATTGTTATTGAAAGCTTCAGTTATGTAAAGCGCCAACTCACCATAATAGGATAGCATGTTGGCTATCCCGTCGGATGAATGAATTGTGCGAGTATACAGGCTGAACAGCCAAAGCCACAAAGACAGCATTGGTAGCACTAGAGTAGCATGCAGAGAGAAAACGTACAAGTAATAAAAGGGAGGTGACACAAATGATACGCAGTCGGAGGTGGGTAGTACAACTACGCAGATGTTGTTGATCGTGTTCTAGGTCAGTTTTAGTCGAACTCGCATTGGCACGATTCCTGCCGTCCCCCTTGCCCGCAGGCAGCGTCGGACCCTGAGAGCGGAGTCCTCAGACACGCGCAGTTCATGGAATCGTTTGGCAGGGCTATCGCTATGATATCGCAGGTTCTCAACTAACGCAAAGAGACCGGAGATCAAGCGAACAAATACACCGTCGATCAGTCTAGCCACTAAAGATGCAAGCAATGCAAAGATAGCCTGGAGGCAAACAAGCAATTTGTGGGAAACAAACTTCTGGCTCGGATCTCAGGCTCCGATTCGGACACGTCCTCATCATCCTCATCGTCCTAGACTCCGGAGCCCGGCTTCCAAAGCGCACGCTTCGCAGCTTGGCTTCTAGTCCGACACTGAACGAAGAAGGAAGAGGAGGTGCGTCCTCCTCAGCGCGCCTGCGGTCACCGAGCTGGTGCCATGAGAGAAACTCTTCGGAGACTTCGGAGTCGACATCCTCTGACCTTTCCAGGGACCCCGGAACAAGATCTATGCAACCCCGTAGCCGTACCTTCTCTCCGGAAATCTTGCTGTAAGTAACTTGATGCCTATATGCCCCAGCATGAACCTAGATCTTACCAAGCTTTCCTTAACCTTGACATGTTCTGAAGCCGTCGACTCCAACATCCACGGCACGGTCGAAGTTTCGATCTGGCAGAGTTGCTTTCATTGCTACAGCTGCTGGAGAAAAAGTGCGTGCGAAAACGCTGATGTTGCGATGTCGGGGCATTCATGATTCCAGCTGAAGCATACCAGCACTAATGGTAACGAGGCACAGTTGCCCCGCATATGTGAGTGTATGTTCATGCTGATGTAGACATGCAGGGAAGCTTCCCACAAGAATCAGAGGCTCGTGATGCAACAGCTTCTTCCTTAACTGAGTGCGATCGGCGAAGCCAAGAACCCACATCGTTCACAGTCCGGCCCCATGGCCGGCACCCGC